GATCTCTGTGAGTTCGAGGCCAGCCTGGGCTACCAAGTGAGTTCCAGGAAAGGCGCAAAGCTACACAGAGAAACCCTGTCTCGAAAAATCAAAAAAAAAAAAAAAAGATAGAACTTGCCAGGAGGTGGCGGCAGTGGTGCACGCCTTGAAGCCCGGAACTCGGGAGGCAGAGGCAGGCGGATCTCTGAGCCCAAAGCCAGCCTGGGCTACAGAGTGAGTTCCAAGACAGCCAGGAGAGTTGCCCAGTGAAACCCTGTCTCAAATAAAATAAAAATAAAAGACAGAACTTTCGAGTAGAGCTGCTAAGGCAGAGAGGCTTAGCTAGGAGACCTCGTCACGATCAACCCAGAGCTGGAGGAACTGGCTCAGGGCAGCCCTCAGAGAGCCAGCCTCTCTCCAGCGCTCTTCCTGGCCAGGATCTTCTCCAACAGACTCATCCAGGGCCAGAGGACACTGTAGTAGGCATAATTATTGCAAGAAGGGAGTCCTTAATTCTGTCTGTGCTCAGCAAATGTTACCCCATGTAGATGCACACACATTTATAAGCGGGAACGTAGGTGGCTCACACCTTTAATCCTAGCACTCTGGAGGTAGGTGAACCTCTGTGAGTTCGAGGCCAGCCTGACCTACAAAGTGAGTTCCAGGACAGCCAGAGCTGTTACATAGAGAAACCCTGTCTCAAAAACAACAAAAACAAAAAACAAAACAACAAACAAAACCCAAGCAGGTGTGTAGGCGCGTGTGGACAGGGGCCCAGGTCGGAGCTGAATTGATGGTTTTCATCATCTTTCATCCGTCTTCAACTTTCAGGGGGAGATGGAGGCTTCCTCCTTGTACGGCTGAGTGTGGCCTCCCCTGAGAACCTCACTGAGCCCAAAGCCGTAGAGAAGCTGATGGACCAGGTAAGTGGTATGTCAGGCGTAAAGTGGGGCGCTCTCGGGGACTCCAGGGAGCATTTGCAGGACACAGAAGGGCGACTACTACACGAAACAGTGCCACATGAAGGAGCATTAGGAGCTGAACCTGGGGCCCGTGTCTGGCTTTGATCTTGCCTCGCTTCTCAATTCTTCTATATTGTGAATGTGACGTGTATGAATCTCTCCACCGCCAGATCCAGCTTTTTCAGGTTCTGGAAGTGCAGGCCTTCTGGCCTTTGAATCCCAGCGACATTGATGGGAAAGTAAGCACAGGTCTTGGTTGCAAGCAGCAGCAGCCACCAAGGCATGGCCGTTTACACGGAAAAGGCAGAGTCTGAGAAATCTGCAGGTGGTTCTTCCGCCATCACATGTGGCTGGAGCCAGCAGTGGAAACTCGTCATGGGTGTTTTCTCTGCAACTCTGGGCCCTTTATTCTTCATGGTCTTTCTCCATGCATGTGGAAGGGGGCTATCACAGAGGAAAAAATGAACACAAACATGCTTACTACTCAGCCTACATCTCCACTTTTATTTTATTTTATATTTATTTTGAGACAGGGGTTCTCTGTGTAACAGCTTTTGGCTGTCCTGGAACTCACTCTGTAGACCAGGCTGGCCTAGAACTCACAGAGATCTGCCTTCCTCTGCCTCCCTAGATCAAAGGCTGTGGTACCACTGCCTGGTCCTTCTCCACTCTTACACAGTTCAGTACCCAAACCAAGGGAACGGTGCCACCAATGGTGGGTTAGGTCTTCCCATATTAAATAACTTAAGGCCACCTCCCATAGGCAGGCCAAACTGGTCCAGGCAATGCCTTGTTGAGACTCTTCCCAGGTGATTCTAGAGTGCATCAAGTAGACAAAACCGACCTCACAGCCACCATGGCTGACATCCCAATAAACATCACACGGATGGGAAAGGGTATGAAGTAGGGATGCTAGATAGAAACCCCCTCGGAGATATGCCCCAGAGAGGAAGATGGTGATGCATTTGTATACCAATTTGGAGAAATCCTCTTAAGTCTAGGCTATTTGTGAAGCTCTGGGGTGAAGGCTTTTGGGGGTGCTGTGAATGAGTGGAAGTTAGACTGGGTCAGCTCAGTATAAATGCCATAGGCTAGCTCAGTGCAGGTTTTATGAAGTGTCCAAGCTCTACCCGTATTGTGAACAGTGAGAACAGACCTGGGCTACCACCTAAGACAGACTGCTCCTTCCACCTTGTTCCACCAATGCCTCAGCCTTTCAGCCAGACCCTGTCATAGTCAATGGGGGCCACAGTAGTGCAGGCTCCATGTTACCTCTTGAAAGGACAGACCTGAAAGAGAGGCTGACAGGCTTCCTTGTGCCAGGGGTGAAGTCCTAGAGCCAGGATAGACAGATGATGTGGTTCATTAGCAGTCGGGAGTGGGTGGTACCCTGCAGGTAGGATCCCTCAGGGAAGGCAAACGAGGCCCAACATCGTCACTATCTGGTCCTGCCTGCCTTTTAAAATTTTTTTCTATTCCCTTTTCATATTATAAATAAGTCTCCCCACCCCCACATCTAATTTTTGTTTTTATCTTATTCTATGTGTATGGATATTTTGCCTGCATATGTATCTGTGTATCACGTCCATGCCTGGTGCCCGTGGAGGCCAGCAGAGGGTATCAAATCCCCCAGGACTGGAGTTACAGATGGTTGTGAGCCACCGTGTGGGTGCTGGGAATCAAACCCAGGGCCTCTGCAAGAGCAACCAGTGCTCTTAACCACTGAGCCGTCTCTCCAGGCCACAGATCCGATTTGTTTCAGGTCCTAGACGTCCAGGCTTCTAAGAAGTCATGTGACATTGATGGAGGAAACAAAGCAAAGCTCTCGGCCGCAAAATGAGGGGAGGGAGGACCCCAGATGCACAGAAGCAAGGGGAAGCCAGAAGAGCAGCTTTGAAAAGGCATGGGGACATGCTCCCTGGGACACTGTCCCCTTGCTGGTCACTGTCTGAGGACATCACACTCCATGTGCGCCACTGGCACTTCACCCTTGGGTTGCTTGTTGCGGGGTCAAAGTTTGGAGCAGGACCATCCAATTGTCCAAGCCTGGCTCTCGTATCCACCACCCACTTCCCTGGGATATCAGGAGGGAAGAAATATCTGGGTCTTCGAAGTCTCTTAGCAGCAAAGAGGCCCATGGGGACTACCCTCATGAGGAATTCTGTCCACAGGGCACCCAAGTTTGACCCGGGACAGACAAATAGATGACAGATGTCTCTGTCATGGACATCAAAGTAGGAAGCAGGGCTCCTCATGGGAGGGGGAGGCCACAGTGGAGCATAGATTTGATACCTGGATTGGCAAATATTTCGGGGGTCAGAAAGCAGCCTGGAGCTCAAGATTGGGTCAGGCAACTGAGTTACAGGAGCGAGGCCACATGAGGTTGCCACTGATGTATTCTTCTTATTACTATTATTATTACTACTTATTATTCCCTTATTTTATGGAATTTGTTAAGCGTATTGATTTTTGTTGGGGGTCTAGCCAATGGTGTGAGGCACAGGAGTCAGGCAGATCTGAGGGTGGGTTCTAGTTAGCTGTGTGAGCTTGGGTAGGTCGGTCCATACCACTTTACCCTTTATGGATTGTGGATGAGAACGCCTGCTGTGTGTTTTAAATGGCCCCTGTTGTCACACTGTTGATGTCCCTCCACTGCCCCTTCTTGTCCTTGGCCTATGGTGGGCTCCCGGGCAGACAGGCTGGCACCTCATCTGTTCTTTTGCTTTCCAGCTCAGCTGTGAACTGCACACCCACATGCCCCTTGTCCAAGTGTCCTTACTGAGCGTCAGAAGGGGCTGAAGAATGTTAGCTGCAACCAAGCATGTCCTCTGTAGCAGAAGAAGAGTAGTGCTGCATGTGGCCTGAACCCCAAACAGACCAAAGCCGTGGTACTGTGCTGTGGACCCACAAGGTTCCCATGAAGGTCAGCTGGCCTGAGAACCCTGCCCCATACCTGACCACAAGACCTTGGTCCACTATGCCTGGGTGTGTGTGTGCAAGGGGAGAGGGCTGGCCTGTTTCCAGTGGTGCCCTTCACCACCTCTGACTGGTTATTGTATTTCAGTAAAGAGAAAACTGGCCACTCCACCCGTGTTCTTCCATTTTGTACTCAGTGACACTCCAGGTGACCCAGAGATTGTCTGTATTGAGCCCGCATGCCTTAGATGTTTTTATCATTATGTTTTTATTAATTTGGGGGGTACTTTCCTGTGGCCTGGTTTGCTTTGGCGTTTACCACGACTTGCCCTGGAGCCTGTTGAACCTGAGCTCTGTATCAGTCAGCTCATTGTTGCTATAGCAAAACAGGAGCTCCACAACTTGCAATGAGAAAAAGCTTATTTCTGCTCACAGTTGAAAAGGTTCTGGGTCAAAGTAGGGCAAACCCATTGCTCTGGGCCCCAGATCAGGTCAACACAGGGCAGCGATCCACTGTTCTGTGTATCAGGTGGGAGTGCCAGGGGACAAAGGTGGGCAGTGCCTAGCAGAGCCTACTGCTAGTCCTGTGCTCAGAAAGCCAAACAAAGGAAGAGGAAGGGTGCTGAATCCCCTTCAAGGGCACATCCCCAGTGACTTAACAATTCCCCCTAGCTGGAGAGATGGCTCGGCGGTTAAGAGCACTGGCTGTTCTTCCAGAGGACCAGGGTTCAATTCCCAGAACCCACATGGCAGCTCACAGCTGTCTATAACTTCTGTTCCAGGGGATCTGACACCCTCACACAGACATACCTGTAGGCAAAACACCAATGTACATAAAATAAAAATAAAATTAAAAAGAATTCCCCTTAGGCGCCATCTCTTAAAAGCCCCACCTACTGAAGAACTACCCTGGGGATTAAGCCTTCAACACAGGGACCTTCCAGAGACACATCCAGATCATAGCGAGCCCCTTCAGGGCAGGGATCATATTTGTTGATCTCCGATCCTTGAGCCTGGAGAACTTGGTCCGAGGGAGGGAGGGCCACAGAGAATGTCAAATTGATTTAAATGTCAAGTTGTGGGCTCGAACAGATTTAAAAGAACGTCTCTAACATGCAGTTATTCCTACCATAGCTCAGGCTCACCTGCTGTTATTTTAAAATTAAATGTAGTTTGTTCTTCTCTCATAAAAGTGTAACTTGCTTATGATTTTTAACTTTTGGAAAGTCCCGAAAAGGAACCAGAAAGAGTAAAGTAGGAATAGGAGGCGAGGAGAAGGGGAAAACCCAACCAACCAAACCTGACATGGCAGCTCTTACATACGGGCAGCCTTAATGTGCCTGTTCAGTCGCTCCCTCGGCCGCCCACATGGATGAGGAGACACTGTACATTCAACGCTCCCAGATTTGAAGTGCTTAATCCACTTGCTGTATCGTCCTCAGCTCAGGTCATTCCACTTGCACCCTTCAGCGGCTCCAGCCCCAATTTTTGGTCCTTCTCCTTTGTCTCTCACATTTTAGATCAGAAAATTCACCTGGCTTCTCTTCCTCAAATGATGCCCAGCACCTGGCACTCCCCACCCACTGGCCATCACTCTGATGGTCTGAGATGCCACTGTCTCTCACCTGTTACTCCAGCCTCCCTGTTGGTACCTATGCCCTGCCCCTCTCCTCCAACACCCAGTCTGATTCCCAGACATTAGCTGGAGATGTCCTTTCAGAACAAATGGCAGGTCTGTGCGTCGTTTGCTTCCATTTCACTCATTGGGCTAAAGCCTGTAGAACTGTGAATGATGGGAGATGTGAATGATGGGGGCTGCTGCACTCACCTCCCTAGACTGCCCTCTGCAAGCCGCCCAGCTGCTTTGCTGATCCTTAGATGCCCCGGGCCTGCTCGGGTCTTGGAGACTTTGTGTGCATTGTTTAGTCTGCTTTAGAAGGCCTTCCTCCAGACATCTGCTCAGCACCTCCTCCCTCTCCACCTACATCAGCCCCTCCTTAATGTACTCTACCCACAATACCCTTCTCACCCTACATACCAAATGCTGCTCTGCTTTGTAATACCTGGTATAGTGTGCATTTCTTTTATTTGTCTTTGTCCCCTGAGTCCTCCAACTACAATGAAATCTTTTGCTCATTGTAGCGTCCCTAGGACCTTGACCATAGTCAGTGCTTCCTGTGCCCAGTCTCAGAGCATGTCCTCAGTGTGAGCAAAGCATTGGGGTTTAATCTCCAGCATTGAAATAATGGCATAAGTTGCTCCATAAATACGTTAAATAGATAATGAAAACAATGAACAGCTGCTCTGGATAAAGGGAGTGTGTATACTCAACTGACACCCTGTGTTCTCAGAACGGGGCAGGAAGCAAATAACTCAAACTCTTACCCTGATGTATTTGGTGAGTCCCTAAAACAGAGGAGAGACCATGTTGTGTGCCGAGGGGCACTCAAAGATATCTCTTGGGCTAGAAAGATGCTCACTGGACAAAGGTGCCTGCTGCCAAGCCTAAGGACCGGAGTTTGATCCCCGGGACACACATTATGGAAGTAGAGAACTAGCTCCCTCACGGTGTCCTCTGACCTCCACGACACATGTTTCCTCCCCTTCCTGTACACAAAATAAATAAACAAAATGTTTTTTTTGAATGTCTCCTACCACAAATAGTAAAGTTAGTAGGGGATGTTTAGCATCAACAAAGATAAAAAAAAATCTAAGCAAAACTCAAAAAGCTCAAGATATTCCTATAAGGCAGTTTAGTTAGATGTAGTAGATGTTCAATTCATAGAAACCCCTGGCTGGAGTGATGACTCATCAGTTAAGAGTGCTTGCTGCTGTTGCAGAGGATTAGAGTTTGGTTCCCAGCAAGCACCTATGTCAGGTAGCTTACTTCTGCCTGTAACTCTAGCTCCAGGATCTGATGCCCTCTTCTGGCCTCAGTGAGCATTGCACTCATGTGCACATACCTCATCACAGACACACACAACCCATGCAACTAAAAATAAAATAACTAGGGCTGGAGAGATGGCTCAGAACACACACTACTCTTCCAGAGGACTTGAGTTCTAGTTATTAGCATGCAAAGAGTGTATAAAATATTTTTGCTCTTATTTTCTGAAAATGAAACTATTTTTTCCTCCAAATTACTTTTCACGTCATCTCTAGCATTTTCCTTTCCAACATCAGAACCACTTCCACTGTTACCTAGAAGACAGACAGACTGCTTGGTATACAAGGCCTCAAGATGTGGCCTCAGCTGCTTCCTCACCCCTGGCCCTGTGGCTCCTGGTCCTCTATCCCGTGTCCCTTCTACAGGAGTGTCTCATGATCCCAAGCAACACCAGATTTGATCTGAGTCCTTGCCCTCATGATTCCTTCCTGCTGGAATATTTTCACTTGCATGAGTCCCTTCACCTGGAAAACACATATTCATTCTCAGAAGCCCAGTTTGGATGGGACCTTTTCATGTTTCTGTTAGATCCCTAAAGAAGAGCTGATTTCTTGGTCTCTTTGCTTACATTTTTGTGGTAATGCTTGATATGGTGTGTTATAATTTAGGCATTTCCCAGGTTTCCTAAATTATCTTCATTCAGGATAAGTACTAGCTAGTTGAGTGTATCTGTAGTTACAGAACTGAGCAACAGAGCTGTGGTGATATTGTGTTCCCCAATATATTGTGTATCCTAATAAATTTATCTGGGTCAGAGAACAGAACAGCCACTAGACAGACATAGAGGCCAAAAATGGTGGCACTCACACCTTTAATCCCAGCATTCCAGGTGGATCTCTGTGAGTTCAAGGCCACACTGGAAACATCCAGGCATGGTGACAAATGCCTTTTATCCCAGGAAGTGATGGCAGAAAGTTGAAAGGTATATAAGGTGTAAGGACCAGAAACTAGAAGCTTTTGGCTGGTTAAGATTTTAGGCTTTTGAGCAACAGTTCAGCTAAGATCCATTTGAATGTGGACTCAAAGGCTTCCAGTCTGAGGAAACAGGATCAGCTGAGGAATTGGCAAGGTGAGGTAGCTGTGGCCTGTTCTGTCTCTCTGATCTTCCAGCATTCACCCCAATACCTGGGTCTGGGGTTGTTCTTATTAATAAGACCGTTTAAGATTCCTGCTACACAGATCCCTACACAGAAGGACACTAAAATGTGTCTGAGTGACTAAGATGGATGATGCATTGGTTATGTGGTGAATTTAATGAGAATGGCCCTCAGTGGGCTCATATAGTTGAATGTTTGGTTCCCAGTTGGTGGACTGTTTAGGAAGGATTAGGAGGTGTGGCCTTATTGGAGATGTGTTATTGGGGGCAGGCAGGCTTTGAGTTTCAAAAGCCCATACATACCAGGCTCAGTCTAGAGCTCTCTCTGCCTCTAACTTCTGGATAAGATGTGAGCTCTCAGCTACTGCATCAGCACCATGCCTGCCTGCCTGCTGCCATGCTCACTGCCATGATGATCATGGACTCCCCCTCTGTAACTGTAAGCCAGACCCCAATTAAATGCTTTCTTTTATAAGTTACCTCGGTCATGGTGTTTCATCAGAGCAGTAGAACAGTGACCAAGGTAGGCTACATGAGCAGATGTCCCTGAAATAAGGGCAGTGGGCTCTGAAGGCTAAGGAAAGAGCTCTCAGCAGCGCAGTCAAGCAAGACATCAACTGATGATGTAATCACAAGCTGTGCAACCAATGATGTCATCACAAACTGTGCAACCGATGATGTAATCACAGCCTGTGCAACCAATGATGTAATCAACTGTGCTGTAAGGCATAGAGGGAAAGCAGCTAGCGTACTTGACCACAGGGCCACTGTTAAGGGAGGCCCTGCCCCTGAGTCATTTTTCTTCTCTCACTTTGTATTTTCTTAAATTGGTGACATCTACTTCAGAGGACAATTTCATATTAATTACATACGTGTAAGGTCCTGTACATATAATGTTGATGATGATTGCTACTGTAAATCAGAAAAATTATAAAATATAGGACAGATCAATTGGAAGTATTTGGAAATTCTAGAGTATAATTATTATTATTATTATTATTATTATTATTATTATTATTATTATTTGGTTTTTCGAGACAGGGTTTCTCTGCGTAGCTTTGTGCCTTTCCTGGATCTCGCTCTGTAGACCAGGCTGGCCTTGAACTCACAAAGATCCGCCTGCCTCTGCCTCCCGAGTGCTGGGATTAAAGGCGTACACCACCACCGCCCGGCTAGAGTATAATTATAATTGTGTGGAGGAGAAAAGAGAGGATCAAGGTTAGCAGAAATAATGTCACCAAAATCATCAAGAAGCAGAAGGACATGGAGAAAATTTCTCTAGCCTTTAAGATTATGAAGGCATGTGTAGACAAGGTAAAAATCATTAGAGATAGGGCAAAGGCTCAGTGGGTAAGAGAGCTTGCTTCAGAAGCGTGATGACCTGAGTTCAAATCCCCGGCACTCGTATAGAAAGCCAGGCATGGCCATATGCAAGCCAACAGCCCCAGCACTACCAGGGATAGGACAGAGACTGCAGGATCCCTGGGCCTTGCTGGCCAGTCAATCTAGCCAAAATGTCAATCTCCAAGTTTGATGAAAAACCCTGGGTCAAAATAATAAGACAGAGAGTGATGGAGTAGGCCACCTAATGTCCTTCATGAACACACCACCACCACCACCACCACCACCACCACCACCACCACCACCACCACCACCACACATTTCATAAAGATGAAAGGATGTGTGGACCTAAATGAGACCACCTGCCTTGTCACCTGTCACTAGGTATGACTCTAAAGCATGAAGAGAAAGAGGAACTTTCCTGACAAGGTTACCCAAAGCCTGGCCATCTAGTTCTTCTTTCATCCCTCGAGAGAGGGCTGGCCACCACCAACTCACGGGTGTGACCCAACTGTAAGTGAGTGGATACCACATCACTTTCTAGTATCGATAAAGTTTAGCGACGGATCATGCCAGCCAGCCACTGTCTGTCATCTGGCCGTTTAGCGCCTTCCATCAGGCCCACAGGAGGTTTCTAGACGGCTCCTTTAAAACAGAGAAGACTGAGCAAGGACATTGGCACTTGGGGCCCCAGCTAGTTCTCTTCCTTCAGTGGCCCCTCAGGACGTCTCTGCTGCCTGTAACCAGCTGGGACTGCAGAGTGCCTGCTTCCTTTTCTCAGCTAAGCCTGGCACCCCGAAGAAGGGCCGGTCCCCTTTTCATCCCAGGTGCCAAAGTGACAGAATCCAAACCAAAGAGCTAGGAGTAAACTCATGCAAATTTGCGACAGTGTCCTTGATCAAGTTCTGCCGTTCACAAAGGTAGCTCTGTGCCAGCCACAGCCTGGTGTCCCTGGCACACCTTCCTTTCCCCGTCCATGCCCCATTCTGCACGCTCATTGCCTCAGCAAGTGTGACCAGGGCTACTAGACAAGATACAGAGTATCGAGTATGTTACAATGTCCGATGAAACAATTTTTTTTTTCTGTGTAGTTTTGGAGCCTGTCCTGGAACTCTCTCTATAGACCAGGCTGGCCTCGAACTCACAGAGATCCACCTGGCTCTGCCTCCCAAGTGCTGGGATTAAAGGCATGCACCACCACTGCCTGGCTTCAGATGAACAATTAAAAAAAATAAATAAAAGAATGTCTTAAATATTTCCTGGAACATCCTTATAACACAAAGTAAATTATGCTGGTGGCTGGTCAGAAACTTAACGTTAACTAGGCATCCTCTACTTCTGATTCGCTAAACCTGACAACTTCCCTTTCTTGATTCAAGAATAATATATATTTATAGAGTACACAGTCTGAGCTGTGTAGGTGCCTTGCATACATTAGCAAACAGTCCTCCTTTGGGAGATAAGATCTTGGTATAAACCCTGCTGGTCCAGATCTTGCAATCTGGATCCCCCTGCCTCTGTTTCCCAAATTCAATTACAGGCACGTGTGGCCACACCTGGCCTGAACAGGCAGGGTACTTAATGATATAGTCCACAGTTTTAGAAGTTGGAAGTCCAAAGTTGAATGACCTCATCTGTTTGACCTCTAAATCAGGGGCCTTGGCTAGGCCAAATGGCAGAGAAAACAGAAGAGAGACCTGTCCACTATATGCAAAAGAGGCCGAGAGCACAGGCTAGCCTCATGTAATAAAAACTCACTCCCAGGGGAGCAGGGGTCCTTTGAGGAATACTCGAGTCTTCCCAAGGGTGATTCCCATGACCTAACTGACTGCCCTGTACTAGGCCTTGCCTCTTGAAGGCTTACCGCTTCAACAGGGCTGCCCCAAGCACCCAGGCTCCAGCACAGATGTCTTTGGGGAACTACTGCCCCCAAAGCATTGGCTGAGGTGTAGGAATGGGCTGAGACAGGAGGAAGCAAGGACCAAGCCAGTGCTGTGACCACGGATGCAGCCACCGCGGGGGCCACTGGGAGCTGTGACGGGGCTGGGCCCCGCTACCTGACTCCTGGACCACCTAACGTGCAGCGGCCACATCTACGTTCGTGAGGACTGGGAGAATGCACGGTGCCTAGCCAGGCCTTCAGCCCCCGAAGAAATGGATGGAATCCATGGTTTGGAGACACAAAAGGATAAGAGACTTAATTTAAATATATTTGAATGAGAAGTAAGCCACTTTTATACATAAAAATATTTTGGTTAATGTGGAGCCAGTCACCCATTAACTCTGGAGTGTGTGTGTGTGTGTGTGTGTGTGTGTGTGTGTGTGTGTGTGTGTGCACTTCATACACGGCAGTGTCCTCCTTTCAGATGTGTCTGGGTGAGGACCCACCCATCTAAATATTTGGTCATCGTGGCCTTTTCCTGTACCCCCAGTCTACTGACAAGGTGTAGTCTGGCTACTCCCTTTATTCATTCTTGAAGAATCGCAAATCCCCTTCGTTCAGCAGCCCCTTTCCAGTCTCCTTAGATCAGAGGCCGAGTGACGGGTGGGTCCTGAGGTATCCTAGGTGCGGCTGCCCATCTGGAGCGCGGCCTTACAATTCTGAGTCCAAAGGGTAGGAGAACTTGTTCATGGAGCCACAGAAGTGGAAGATGACAAACGCCAGGATCCCCAAGAGCAAGAGGGCGCCCAAGGCCCCAAAGAGGATCCCGAAGAATGCGCCAAGTTTCACACTTAGGTGCTCACAGCGCTCGCCCCAGGATGTGTAGATGGTGAAGGATGCGCAGCTGGGGACAGAGAGAAGTGTGGTCAGTGAGGATGCAGGCCTGGCCTGCTCGGCCTTCCTCTCCTGGGGACCAGGGGTCATTATTCAGGAGAGGCAGGGTGGAGGAGCCATGGAGCCCAGAGGCCATCAGCGAAAGGAGGGAGGCGTGAACAGCACATTCTACTCCAGAAGGGTGGGGGACAAAGGACCATGGGGCTCGTACGGTCACAAATCCGTCCTCTTCTTCTCCCAAAGGATGGGCTCTACCCTCGACTCAGCTCGACCCCTTTGACGAGTCGCGGACTAAGAGTGAGGCAGGAGTCAAGAGAGGACACTGGGCGACGGGCCCCTGTGTCCCCCAGACTTAGAGTCCTCTCCTCAGGGGAGACACTCTGCTAACATGGAGGAGACCTAAGGAACCATCCTCAGGGGCGTCCGCAGACTGAGTGCTTCTACAGAGGGGCTGCACCAGGACCAGACCAAGACAGTGGGCTCCTTTCTGCGAGGGCTCTAGCAGCCTGCCACTTTACTTCCTGGGTGGCCCCTGGGCCCTTGCCGCTCTGCAGACCATCTCCTCTCCAGGATGGTCGGAGTACCCTCTTGGGACTAGCATGGGTTTCAGAAGCAATGCCTGTCTTTTTCTCCATGCAGAGGAGCGGTACACACCTCCTGTCACCCCCCTCCCCTTTTCCTCTGCTTCTTGTCCCCAGTCACTAGGGAGTCATCCCAGTGTCACGTGTTGGGAGGGCCATGCCTCCCTGGGCCTATTGTGGTGTCCCGTCCAGCTTGCTTTCCCCAGCACTGTCCTCTCCAGCCCCAGGCCCCTACCCACCTGCACTGGGGCCCATCTGGTAGGTGCTGGCATTGGCCTCCATTGTGACAGTAGCCCTCACTGCACGGGGACACGCAGGTGACACCGTCCTGGGGACTGTAGACCAGCTCGTAGCCCTTGTAGCCTTCACACAGGAAGTAGTCGCTCAGATTGCCCAGGTTCACTGCAGGCAGGGACAGAGATGCAAACAACTGAGGTAAGCCAAACGTCAGGTGATTGTCCTGAGGAGCAGCTGGCTGTGTGCGCGGGTACCTGTATCTGTGGGTACTCAGTTCTACGTGGGTGAGCCTGTCAAT